ACCTCGACTGAAATACGACACTACAAGGGGTTTATCTAAAGCGTTTTGTTTCATTACAATATTTATGTGAAGAATTAACGAATAAGTGAAAATGAAATATGTTAAAAAAAAAAACCATATACATGTAAAATTGCAATCCATGAACAGTAGTTTGTACCTGAAATGTCTGATTTATCTTACATTTATATACTATATATACATTATGTTTCAAATAAATGCCATGCTATTTTTAAACAACATATTTTGTTATTGAAGGAGTTACGGTATAGTGTTTGTGTTACTATGCTCAGAGCCAGGAACTGGGAAAAGAAAAAAAAAAGATCAGGGCTCGTTACGAAATATATATAAACTGATGACTAAATCGATAAAATCTGTTATTTGTTACAAATGCACAATTATACAACTGTCATTAAAATATTTACTTTTCTTATGAGGTAAACGCAACTATATTTGACTTAAAAAGTGTTGCTACTGGTTAAAGTATTTTTTCCGAAGAGAGTTATTTTTTTAATGACGGAAAACGTAAACAAGAAATTAAAGACAACGTAATTCATGCCTTGGTTTTTATCAGTTATGGGCTTTGCTTACACGTTTTACAATGTCAGCAAAGACTTGTTGTTATACAGTTTCTCCAATGTTTATAAATAATCAGACAACATAAACTAGACTAGAAAACACAAACTGAAGTTTTTTATGCACTCAAACTTTGGCCTCAATAATGTGCTGAATGCTTTGCATGGTCAGATATGAATAGTTTTTTAAAAATAACAATAAAATAGTTTCAGGGGTGTGGAATTTTTTTCTTTTACATCTACTTGCTCAAGGGATTAAAGGGGTACCCCAATCTATTTGTACGTCATCACAATCTACTTGCTCTGACACAAAACTTAAAATTAGAAAGTTTGCGGACCCTGTTTAGACCTGGACGTTATATAGTTGTCTAGGTTAAAGTCCCTCAAGTTCAACTGAGAAGTCCATTCTTTTAAGCTGTTGATCCAAAGGAAGGCAAAAATTGTAGCCATTTCCAATCATGCCACAAAAAGGGAAAGGTTAGCACACAGCAGTTTGTACTGACCCTGTATATATTTGTATAGTGCTGTCATATCCCATCTGAGACATTGGTAAGGTTATTCAACTATCTCTACATTTTCCCAGATTATATCTGAAGGAAAAAGCTAAGGCCAAAATAGCTGATCTTGAGACATACTCCAACTCGGCCATAAATCACAACAGGTAATTTTTTTTTTAATTCGGATTTAATTTAAGGGGGTGCCCGAGCACCATCCTGCCTAGGGCAGCACAAATCCTAAATACACCACTGTGTGTAGTGAGGTTGTCTTTGTGTGTATGTGCAAAAAAAAACAATTTTGAATTAAAAATAAATACTGGTATAGGGGGCCAAATTTGGAGTTTAGTGTCTCACCCTCTGTCCTTCCCCATAGTGTGTGTGGTGCATTTCGGCTGGGTGTAATGCAGGGATGGTCTGACAAACTTCTGGCTCCCTGGGCAAAATTCCATCTTGGCCCCCTATACCAGTATTTATTTTTAATTCAAAATGTTTTTTTTTTTTTGCACATACACACAAAGACAACTTCACTACACACAGTGGTGTATTTAGGATTTGTGCTGCCCTAGGCAGGATGGTGCTCAGGCACCCCCCTTAATTTAAATCTTCGCCACCCCTTCCAGACTGACAGATGCACACACTCACTGATAGATGCATACACTCTCATATACACTGACAAACAATGACAAACACACACACACTCACTGATTTGACACACTGATAGACAGACACACACTATTACTCGGACACACACTGATAGAAGTACACTCTTACTGACTGACTGGTGCTCGGGCACCCCCCTTAATTTAAATCTTCGCCACCCCTTCCAGACTGACAGACGCACAAACTCACTGACAGACATACACACTCACTGACCGACACATACACATTCACTGACTGACACACACAAACACATTTACTCACAGACACACACTCATTCACTCACAGACACACACACATTTACTCACAGACACACACACAGACATTACCACCAAAACTCACAAATTATTATTTATTTTTTATTTTAAATCCACCCAGCCTCCCTGGGAGCGCTGTAGCGGATTACTTACCTGTCCCTGGGCGGGCAGGGAGGGGGTGGACAGGCATCGTAGGCAGCGAAGGAGCTCTGATTTTCCTGCTCAGCTCCCTCGCGTGCCGCTTAGTGATGCCGGGAGCTGATCTGACGTCATATTCCGTCTCCCGGTTTCATTAAGCGGCGCGGAGGGAGCTGAGCAGGAAGGGCTCAGGTAAATATGCTCCCTTGCTGCCAGCTGCCCATCTCGAGGGGACTCAAAAGTGGGCAGCTGGCCAGCTCTTGCGCCCCCCAGGACATGAGGCAAGCAAGGGATCTGCCTGGGCATTTGGGGGCTGCAAAGTGCCGCCCAAGGCAGATGCCTTGTTTTCCTCATGTAAGATACGTCCCATACTACACACAAGCTCACTCAGCTCACTGATATGCAGACAATATCACTACACACAAGCTCACTGACATACTCACAGGCTCACTCACAGACACACAGATTAGCCACTGAAAAACCACTACACACAGTTTGCTACATCCAAGCTCATTACAGAAAACTCACAGCTAGTACACAGCTCACTATAGACAACTCACTGGCACACACATGCTCACTACACACAGCTCGCTGCAGAAAGCTTACTGACACACACACAGACACACAAGCTCAATGACACATATTCAAGCTCACTACACACTAGCTCACTAACATACACACACATACAAAATCACAAGCTCACACAGCTTGCTACAGACAGCTCACTGGCATGCACACAATGTCACTGCATACAAGCTCACTGACACATTCACAAGCTCACCAACAGTCAAACAAGCACACTACAGAAAAACTATAACACTGCTCATTACAGAAAGCTCACTTCATACAAACTCAACTACAGACTCACAAGCTCACTACATAAAAATCATAACACACAGTTCACTGCAGAATGCTTGTTGACACATACAAGCTCACTACAGTTAACTACACGCAATCTCACTCATTTACACACACAAGATCACACAGCTCACTACAGACAGCTTACCGACACACACTCAAGCTCAGTGCATAAAACTCACTACCCACAAGCTCACTGACACACACACAAGCTCGCTACTCACAAGCTCACTGAAACACACATACAAACTAAATACACACAAGCTCACTAAACACAAGCACACTGACACACACACATGCTCACTAAATGCAGGCTCGATACATACAAGCTCACTTACACTGTTTTAGACCAAACCAAGTGTTTGCTTGAATGTCTGCCCCTGTTCAGATTGTTTGAAATAAGGTGCGTGCACGCTGAAGTAAATCACACTGAGACACAGATTTCAGGTAAATGAAAAATTTTGGAATGTTTACTTAGAGGGGCGTAAAGCACAAAATACATCATATGCAAAACATGAGATAACATAGAAAGTACATCTTTAATTGGTCAAGTGTTAAGTGTCTTATCTAATGCACTTCCTCCAAAGTGTGATGTCACCCAGTGGCGTACACATGACCCATGGGGCCCGGTGCGAAAATTGATCCGTGAACCCCCCAACCCCTCCCGCGCTTACTCGGCGCGGGTCTGGGCCGCAACACATGGCGGCGGGCACCTGGTCGCAGGGGTTGCAGGGGTTGCAGGGCTGCGACCCCACGACCGCAGTATGCACACACACTTAAAGGACCACTACAGACACCCAGATCACATCAGCTCAATGAAATGGTCTGGGTGCCAGGTCCCTCTAGTTTTAACCCTGCAACTGAAAACATAGCCGTTTCAGAGAAACGGCTATGTTTCACTGAGGGTTAATCCAGCCTCTGGTGGCTGTCTCATTGACAGCCGCTAGAGGAGATTCCGCGATTCTCACTGTGAAAATCACAGTGAGAAGACACTGAACGTCCATAGGAAAGCATTGAGTAATGCTTTCCTATGGGCGGTTTAAATGCGCGCGCGCCTCTTGCCGCGCATGTGCATTCGGAGCTGAGAGGCGGAGGGATCCGACGCTGGAGAAAGGTAAATGCTGAAGACACACACACACACACTCTCACGAACAGATGCATACACACTAGCTAACAGACACACACATTTACTGACAGAGACACACTCAGTGACAGACATACATACACACTCACTTACAAAACATACACTTTCACTGACAAACACACACTCACTAACAGACTTCAAACACACTCAGTAACAGAAACACACAGTAACACACTCACTAGCAGACACACACCCAATAGACACATTCACTGACACACACACTAACACACACACAAACACTAACACAAACACACACTAACACACAAACACACTAACACACACAAACACACACACACTAACACACACACACACACACACACTAACACACACACACTTTTTTTTTAAAATTTAATCCCCCCAGCCTCCTTAACTTTTGGAGAGCTGGGGGGATTCCCTGGGGTCCAGCCGGTGCGCGAGGGAGCACTCTCCTCTGTGTGCTTCCTCTTCAGCTCCCTCGCGCGCCGCATAGGGATGCCGGCGCCGGAAGATGGCGTCATCTTCCGGCTCCGGTATCAGTGCGGTGTGCGAGGGAGCTGAAGAGGAAGCGCACAGAGGAGAGTGCTCCCTCGCGCAGCGGCCACCCAGACAGCCAGCCCGGGTCAGCAGGGCCAGCCTTGGGGGTTCCTAAGGTGGCTGGCTCCTGGACCCCCATGGGAAGAGGCTGGACCCCCTGGTGGGCCGGGCCCGGTCGCAGCCGCGACCCCTGCGACCCTGGTATGTACGCCACTGATGTCACCATCATCTCGGGATTTTACACGAGGTGTCTCGGTCGATGGGAGGGGGTGCTCTAGCAGCCATTTTGAGTAAATAATGAGCACAGGTGTACACAGTAAACAGACATTTTACTTATATTAATTTCTATCCATAACAGTCCCCCCTTAAAATGACTATTTACTAACAACAGTCTCTAGTAGCTATTTCTGTCCCTAAAAGCTGTTCCTAATAACCTACAACTCATCTGTCCAACAGGCCTCAAACTCTTTTGGTGCTGCGCATTAGACGAGCAGAGGCTTGTCCACCACCCCCCTCGCTCCAGACTGTGCCTGTAAAGACAGACGCTATCCCTACTATGCCTAAAACAATGTATACTTGGCGGTGAAGGACTGCAATGGGGCATAGGGTTTATCATAATCCTCCTCATCTATCTCTCGATGAATAAAAGTTGGTGTGGCCTGATCTGCTGTTTTCTGTATACATTTCTTAACACAGGGGAGAACACAACAGACAATGAGAGCAAGAATAATCAAAATTACCAGGACTGCCACACCTATTTGGGCGAGAACTTTCTGCCATCCACTCATCCACCCAAACCAGGATCTGTGACCCCAGAGTTCCTCTTTAATTCTTCCGAGAGACTTTCTAATTTCTCTTTTGCCAGGGTCACCTTGCCATTCAGGCCTGTATTGTCTGGAATGTAGGTGCAACATTTCATGGTGTCAGGGAGTATTTCACATACTCCTCCTTTTTCCGCTAGGATCATGTCTTGGGCCATCCTATTCTGGAAAGTCATCTGGGATGTTGCCTGAAGTTGCTCAGCAATCCCATGAAGGGGATCTCTTGTATAGTTTACAAATCATTGTTGGTTATTATAGATATAATTAATCAAATTTAGATTATTATTGTCAGTCATGATTGGGAGAATGGATTAAAATCCTGCAGAAACCTCATCCCTCGCCTTGAATTCATTTGGCACCCCCCTTGTTACCCCAATGGCATCAATATATACATGGGGGTCGAAACTGCCTTTTACAGGGGTGTCTCTCTTTGTTCTGATGTGTGGGTGTGACTTGTCAAGTGTATCTTGGTGGCTGTCGGATATTATGTGATTGGCATAATAACCTTGGCTTGGGTGCATTCCCCCCACCATAAATCTTCCAACATGGTCCTGAGCTGCATATCTCCACACAACCAATATATGTCCCCCAATGGATTTAACCTGATTTTGTAGCAAGGCTGCTGGAACTGTGCTATAAGTGGCACAATATTTGCCGGTGAAATTACCCAAAAACCTACCTATTCCTCCATATATACCATAACAAGTATAGTTCCCTGGATAGATGGTAATACCCTCACCTGGTTTGGGGTTCTTAGTCATAATAGGATACTCTTTTTTCCATGATTCGCACACTGATTGGTTAGTCTTACAGTTGGTGAAAAGACTCAGAAAACACACTTCTATGTCAAGGGGTAGGAATAGGGGTACAGTACCTAGGTGGGGTCTGGCTCCTACACAGACATAGCAGTTAGTTCTATTGTGTTTGTTAGCATTATATCTCATCCACTCAAGCCATAGGTTAGTGTCAGAGAATCCTGTCTCTGTAGCCATAGTGTCTTCAAATGTAGGGTTTGCTATAGCTACCATGTCCTAAAAGGTCTGGATGTGGGGTTTGAGTGGGTTAGTAATCCCCACATGTCAGGAAGCTACCCACTCAGGTGATTGATACATATCTTGGAGATAGAAACTTCCATGTTTATTATAAGAGCACCCCCCCACCCCCCCAGTACATCCCCATTACATACTGGCCAGGATCGCCGGGGCTAGGATTTTCTATGTTTAGGTTAAGTTTAATTGGAGTCGCCCCTCCCGGTTTCTGTAAAGTCATTCTACGTAATAGGGATTCCCCATTTCTGTCCAACCTGTCCAGGGCACTCTGTGGTTTGTATACCCAAGCTGTTCCCGCGTTCCAATCTGCCGCCCTCCAGGAACTGCAGTCATGTCCCCAATAATCGTCTGTAACACATATATATGGGTCTTTTATGCAGGGTATATCCTTGTATACAGTTTGTACCAATGATTGTGGGAATGGACAGCGAAGAGTTATACAAAAATGTAAACACATTATCATCTTTAGTAATGGCAACCTGTTGGGCCCTCATCAGGCCTAGTAGAAAAAAGGATAATCATGGCTTAGGACATTCCACTTCCTCTGGGGCTGGAACCTTCTTGCAGTGGGAAGCGTGTATCCAGGTGCTCTTCCCGGCTAATTTAACAGAAGTGGCTGTGACTAAGAGGACTTGGAATGGACCATCATATCTAGGCTCAAGGGCGTGTTTCCTCACAAATTTCTTAACCAGAACCCAATCACCAGGAAGCAATTGGTAGGTGCTTGTATCAGACTCTGGATCTGGAATGGAAGAAAACACTTGTGCATGGATTTTGGTCAACGCTCAGGAGAGAGCAGTAACATAGTCAACCAGTATATCAGAATGGAGCTGGAGTTGTTGGGGGAAAAAGCATCCAAGTCTAGGGGCTGATCCAAACAGGATCTCATAAGGGGACAGGGCAAACCTCCCTCTTGGTGTGTACCTTACACTAAACAGAGCAATGGGGAGACCCTCTGGCCAAGACAGGTTAGTTTCTTGGGCCATATTCATCATCCTGGCTTTTAATGTGCCATTCTTGTGTTCTACCTTACCACTACTCTGAGGGTGATAGGGAGTGTGGAATGCAAGGGTCACACCCAGTGCTGCCTAGATTTATTTGGTTACTAATGCAGTGAAGGCCGGGTTCTGATCACTTTCGATTACTTCTGGGACCCCATATCTGCATACTACTTCGGTGAGCAGGCATTTGGCTGTGGTCTTGGCTGTCATGTTGGTGACTGGGTAGGCCTCTGGCCATCCTGAGAACATGTCTACTATGACTAGTGCGTACTCATATCGACCATTCTATGGCATTTGAATGTGGTCTACTTGGATTCTTTGGAAGAGATAGTGAGGTTTGGCTAGATGCTTCGGGGGGGCTTTTTCCATTCTTCCTGGGTTGCACTTGGCGCAAATGGTGTAGGATCTTCAGTAGCTGTTTGTCAGAGAGGTAATTCCTGGTGCTTCATAGTATTTGCTGATCAGGGAGTTCATGAGGGTCTTGGACAGATGTGATGTTCCATGGGCCCACTGGACCACTGCTGAGTACATGCTCTTTGGTAAACAGAACTTGAGGTTGTTGGAGTACAGCCCGTCTTTAAGGGTTGCCCCTTTCTGCTTCCAGCTTTGAATTTCTTCAGGATCAGCAGCTGCTTGTTGTTCCTTCAGGAGCTTGAGATCTGTGGGTAAGGTCTGCATGGTGAATATGGGGATTTCTTCAGTGGATACTCTTCTGTCCACTTCCCTTGTGCACACGCAGTGTCTTTGGCGGCTTGATCAGCTAGGTAGTTGCCTCGTGCTTCATTTGAGTTCAGTCTCCCGTGAGCCTTTACCTCCAGTATGGCCACTTCTTTGGGGAGGAGTAAGGCATCCATCAGATCTTTAATAGCTGTGCCATGCTTGACTGGTGTGCCAGTTCTTCTGAGAAATCCTGAGATTAATCTGAAGTCATGTGCCACGCCTAGTGCATATCTTGAGTCAGTGTAGATATTGGCGCGTTTTCCTTCAGAGATCTTGCATGCTGTGGTGAGAGCCTGTTGCTCAGCTTCTTGTGCAGGCATGGATGAGGGAAGTGAGGAGGTTTGAAGTACTTCATCAACTGTGGTGACAGCAAATCCAGTATGATATCTTTCATGTTCCTCAGCATATCTGGAGCCATCCACAAACAGGGTGAAGTCAGGCTCTTGTAAGGCAGCTTCATGTACAGTTGGGAGGTGTGTTGTTTCCATTTTCATCTGTTCAAAGCAATCATGAGGTGCATCTGGGTCTTGGTCTGTGGGAGGACTTTCAATGCGTATTTCTGTGTGAAATCAGGGAGAGCCAGTTGTCTTGCAATTCAGGGTTCGCTTGGTGACACCCTCTTCAGAAAGCCGAGTCTGGTTTGCAGTGCTCCATGATTTGGCCAATGGGCCAAGTTCTTTCCATGAAGTCTGTGGGGACTTGGAGAGAGAGATGTGAGGGACAGCTAAGTCCCAGTGGTGGTATAGGTGAGTTACCTCAGGAGGCAGGCGGACTAAGGCTAGACAATTGCCTTTAGGATCACGGAACAGGTCTGTTATGGTGAGTCGCACTTCCACCAACTGGAACAGGTCTTCTTCATAGTGGGGTTCGGGTCCTGGAGTATTTCTGTACCACAAGGTGCAATGAGGGAAAGGCTGAGTGTCATGTGGGACAGAGGGCTTGAGCACGTTCAGAAGAACCATGGAGTCTGGGTCTATGTCAAGGCTTTACCAGTAGTGGGGGATTCCCACCCTGGGAAGTGGCAGAACAGGGATACATTGTCTGGTAGCAGAAGAGAGCATTGTAGGCGAAGGTGGCGGGCAGCTGAGAGGTGTTTGGGCTGTACTTGGTTGATGATGGAAGCAATGTCGTGGGATGCAAGAATGGTGAGGTGATGACCAAGTACCAAATCACTTGTCTTGTCAATGAGGGCCTTTGCTGCAAAAACTGCTCGGAGGCAGGAGGGGCCTCCTTTTGCCACAGGATCTAGTTGGCAGGAATAGTAGCCAATGCGCCAAATTGTTTTAGACCAAACCAAGTGTTTGCTTGAATATCTGCCCCTGTTCAGATTGTTTGAAATAAGGTGAGTGCACGCTGAAGTAAATCACACTGAGACACAGGTTTCAGGTAAATGAAAAACTTTGCAATGTTTACTTAGAGGGGCTGCAAGTCCCTTATAAAGCATAAAATACATCATATGCAAAACATGAGATAACATAGAAAGTACATCTTTAATTGGTCAAGTGTTAAGTGTCTCATCTAATGCACTTCCTCCAAAGTGTGATGTCACCATCATCTTGGGATTTTACTCCGGATGGAGACACCATCTTGTTACACAAGATGTCTCGGTTGATGGGAGGGGGTGCTCTAGCAGCCATTTTGAGTAAATAACGAGCACAGGTGTACACAGTAAATAGACATTTTATTTATATTAATTTCTATCCATAACAACACAAGCTCACTACATGCACTACATGCACAAAAAAGGTCTCTAGCACACACAATATCACTGTCACTCACCCGTTTTTGTTGATGGAGAGCTGGAAGTTGCCCCATGTCTCCCAGACTGTACCTATCACCATTGTCACCTGGTGCTTATAGTATCCCTTTAATCTGGTATTTATGAGAAAACACAAACAGATTATTTACTAAAGTGAGAATTCAAAGTAAATTCAAAGTGAGTTTCAAATTTAAGACCAGAGTAGTCATCTTGCATAAATCAAACACGAGGTGGGGACAGTGCTAAACAACGAACCATAAAAGCATATAGGAGGCAGGACACCTGAAATAGGGGATTCCCTCTAACCCTAAAGGAGAACTAGACAAATATAAAAAGAAACAGGTAGCGCCAAGAGTTAGTAAATAATATAGAAAACAGGATATAGAGTACAAAAATTGTCTGGAGATACAGTAACAAAAATATATATGATAGAGTCCAAAAAAAGAATCCCAGTAGGTAAAATACAGTCTTAAGATAGAAGATAATCCGTCTTCAAATATTCTTAAAGTGCTTGGGGGACAGTTCCTTTCAGTAGCAGCATATGAGAAAACATAAAACAGAGAGACCACTAGTGCAAATATGATAAAAAAAATATAGAGTGCTTAAAAATTATAAAATGTCAACTCACATTTGATAGAGTTATAACCAGCTCTGGGAGAAACAGCATGCAGTGGTATTGTATCCCCACTTGCAGGATATTTTCAGGTAGTGTTCGGTACCAGGAAGATGATTTGGTGAAATATAAAAAAGAAAGAAAGACCTATAGTGCACTCAATGGAGGTAGGCAGTAATATGAAATGTACTTACTCTTGGTGGAGAAGACTAACCGCTCTTTGAGTTAGGCATGGATGGTATAATCCCCACCAAGGATTCTTTGTATGGTTCAGTAGAGGACAAATAGCTGACTTAAAGAAAAATATATGAATGGAGGGAAAGAGGCATGGAAGGGGGAGAGAGACATGGAAGTGGGGTGCCGTCTAGTACATTGGGTGCAATATCTAGTGCTGTGGGAAATGCTGTGGGTGCAACCTGGTGCTGTGGAAAGGGGCAGGACGAGTGAAAAGGTGCAGAGAACATGGTGTGAAGAAGAGCAGATGAGGTGAAGTGAAAGCAGATGAAAAAGTATGTGTACATATAAAATGACCTGGGTCAGGAAGAGGCAGCAAAACATGCCAAAGGTGGCAAAAAGTCTTACACTGGCCCTGACGGTGAGTATGTGTGTGTCTGTGAGTTTGTGTTTCTGTGTATGTTTGTAAGTGAGTGTATATTTTTGTCTGTGTGTGTCTGTGAGTGTATATGAGTATTTGTGAGTCTGTGTATCTGTGAGTGTGTCTGTGTGTGTTAGTGAGTGTGTGGCAGTGTGTCTTTGAGTGAAGATGTCTGTATATATGTGTGACTGCATCGATGCACTTGTGTGTGTGCATGGCTGTGTGAGGGGGTTGGGGAGTGGGGGCAGCATTTGCCTCTTGGACTAGCACTGGTTGCACTCCCTTTAGTCGGCACTTGTAATATAACCACAAGGTAGATAGATGCAGGAGTTAAACACCTCATTTTATTTTTCCTTTTTATATGCAATTATTTCAAATGAAAAAAAAACTGTGGTATGCATTTTATAATGTATTTTTTTTGTAATGCACAAATAATCTAGTTACAGTTTATGTCATTGGTAGTATACCTTTAAATAAAGATTGGCATAGCTGATTTTATGAATTTACTATGGGGGTAAAACCATTTGCCCGTAATATTGCTTAATTAAGGCACCCAAACATTAAATATAAATACTGCTCTAGCAGCTATTCTGGGCGACACTTCTTACTTACTATCTAGTCCCATAAACTGTTGGAATAACTGAATCTTACCAAGGACACAAGGGGTGTGTCCTGACACAGTGCTTCCCAGCCATACTTTCTTCTTCTGTCACTCATTCAGTACATAGTAGCAGTATTGAAGAACCATGTAATATTACATTGTCTTTCTCTAATCTAACCAGCACAACATTCCTAAACTTCTAAGTAGATGTCTAATATCCTTTTGCTCTCAGAGAAGAGTAGCCAGCTGTGTATTCTTCAAAAGGTCAGTGCGTCTCTGTGTTTTCATATAGCAATATGCATGATGGGCTGAAACGTGATAGCATGTGAATTTAACCCCTTAAGGACCAAACTTCTGGAATAAAAGGGAATTATGACATGTCACACGTGTCATGTGTCCTTAAGGGGTTAAAGAACATGTAAATATCATCTATGAGCCACATACCGGTCACGGGTCTAAATGAATGATATTAGGATGTTAATAGAAAGTGTCTGATTTTATTTAATCGTTTGTGTGCCAGGGGGTTGTCAAAGAAATGTCAACTGTTTTATAACTCATATGGTTAAGGGACGACATCATCCATTATTGCGGTTAAATAATGTAATTTATAAAAGTGCAGAGAAATAGTGTAAATGCTC